ATCAAAAGTCAAACCGGGGTAACTGCCACCAAATTGAGTGAAATATAACTGCGTTTGTTTCCCCTAAATGGTTAATTTTGCGGCAAAACGAAACACAATAGGGCCATTTATACGAGGAAAAATAAGACGCGAACTGTACCAATTATACGAGCATGTCTTATCTAAGACGAAAACAGCTCGTATAAAGGTTCGCGTCTTATTTCTGTTCTTGACTCTTTTTCATTTGAGTGTTGCCCGTAGCAACGGCAACCAACAAGGCGCGAAAATTTTCCCGCCAAAAATTAACGCATGCGTACGCGAAGGTCATTTATACGAAGTTTTTCTCGTCTTAGCTAAGACGCGTCTTATCTAAGAACAGATGTTAAGGGCTGTTCTAAAATAAGACGCGTCTTAGCTAAGTCGCGTCTTATTTTAGACGAAATGTGCCCTAATGTATATGTCTGGGATTCCCTTCCCTACCCTACTGAGTTTTTAACCTTTACTTCCAGAGTATGTACGGGCGTACGCTGACCTCATAACCAAATTTTCTGGCATCGATAGGTTTTTCATTTACTCTTAGGCTGTATGGGGCTCCGAAGCACGCGCGGACGCTCCGCTACAAAAGGAGCTGACAAAGATAGAGCAAGACAAACTTGAAGAAGATTGATACGGATTGTAATTGTGTTTTTTGAAAACTAGTTAGCCTTCCAGTTTTTCAAAGTTCATTTTTGTTGTTTGTAACATTTGATATAATGCTTGAAAGACATATTTGTTGACACGAAGCTGTGATGTAGTCATTCACAGGTAATTGCGTAATTACCATAGCGAATAAGGACGAGTAACTGGCGTTATTAACAGAATGGAAACAGAATGGAAAAGCTCAAGTACAAGAAAAAGGAGGACATGCAATGAGGATGAAAAACAAATTCGAACTTCCAGCTGGAGAATAAACCATCCTGGATCTGTCTCATGAAGTTTTACAGTAGTTATTGATGGATACAGTCTATCATTTATCAGTGAAGAATAATAAGGGGGATGGTTTTTTATTAAACTTTTTTCCCCCAAAGGGGGGGGGGGGGGGGGGGGGGGGGGTA